TTAAAAAAAAAAATAAAGATGTTATCTCCAAAAATAGTCATATTGGGGGTTGGGGCTTCAACATATGAATTTTAGAAGGACACAATTCAGTCCGTAGCAATATATATGTGTATGTATTACTGGTTTATTTTTTTATTTAAATTCAATTAGTCAACATATAATACATCATTAGTTTCAGATGTAGAGTTAAGTAATTCATCAGTTGCCTATAACACCTAGCGCTTGTCACATCATGGGCCCTCCTTAATGCCCGTCACCCAGTTACCTCAACCTCCACCCACCTCCCTGTATATTACTGACTTATAAGAATCCTCTATGGAGTGCCTGGCTGGGTCAGTCCGTAGAGCACGTGACTCTCAGTCTCAGTGTTGTGAGTTCAAGCCTGAAGGCTACTTTAAAAAAAATGCTCTTATTACAAAAATATTAACCTATAAAATGTCCTCTATTTAAATTCCGTGTAACCAATTGATTCTCACAAAACACTTTTGTTGTTTTTACTGAGCTTTTATAACCAAAGCAACATATTGTTGCTATTGATAAACCAGCATAATTCAATGAATGTTCCTTGATATTTTTGTTAAGCAATAAAATGAATGTAAAACAACTAAGACATATATTGAAACTTCACTCTTTCAACAATGATATGAGCAACTTCTTTGCTGAATTGAACAGTTTTTGAATACTGGATGAATATTTACTCAATTTTTAAAAAGATTTTATTTATTTACCTGAAAGAGAGAGAGAGCACAAGCAGAGGGGAGGGACAGAGAGAGGAGGGCAGAGGGAGAGGAAGAAGCAGACTCCCCACTGAGCGAGGAGACTGATGCGGGGCTCAATCCCAGGACCCTGAGACCATGACCTGAGCCAAAAGCAGATGGTTAACTGACTGAGCCACCCAGGCGCTCTTACTCAATTTTTTAATGCTATTCATGATGTTAACAGCTACAGACATAACACACTTTTAAGTTTAATCTGCATCATCAACATTCTCTCCATAACTTTTAAGTCTAGACAACCAACAAAATAATAAATTGAGCCTTGATTTGTAATGCTTGCTGGTGTTGCCATGTTGTAAATACCCCCACCAAGACTTATTTCAAACTATCAACATAACGTCACTGAATGTGGAAATGGGAAGAGATGTGCATAACACACCATTATATAACATTTCCATCATGCAGATACGATAGACATAAACAACTTCAAGGGCATAGAAAATGATAAAATGCAGTAAAAAATAATTAAGAATTAATGAGTTTTAAATGTTTATTTTATATTTTTTTAAGTAATCTCTATGCCCAGCATGGACTGTGAACTCACAACCCCAAGATAAAGCGTCTTATGCTCTACCGAGTCCAGCAATGTGCCTCTATTATCTATTTTTAATATAACTTACTGTAAATATATACACTTTAACTTTTAATAATGGCTGTGCATAACAATCAGCTCACAAAATTCTGAAAAATTTAACAATCAGCTCTTGCAAGCCAATACGAGCTGCCTCCAGCATACCACTATGTGCCTACTCAAATGCCTACTCAATCTCACTGCCTAGTGACACTATCACCAATCTCCCAATTTTTCCAGCAGAAAAAATCCCCCATTGAAATCCCTGGATAGGGGCTCCTGGGTGGCTCAGTTGGTTAAGCGACTGCCTTCGGCTCAGGTCATGATCCTGGAGTCCCGGGATCGAGTCCCACGTCGGGCTCCCTGCTCAGTGGGGGGTCTGCTTCTCCCTCTGACCCTCCTCCCTCTCGCGCTCTCTTTCTCTCATTCTCTGTCTCTCAAATAAATAAATAAAATCTTTAAAAAAAAAAAAAGAAAGAAATCCCTGGATATATTCTTATTACTTTAGAGATTTTTTTTAATCTTTTCTTATAATCCAATGACTTTACATTCTCAAAGGTCTTAAGTTTCAAGGCTGCAAACCTGAGAAACTTAACAATGGGAATAGAAGAAGGTGGAGGACTTTTGGTTGATAGTCTTTTTTTAAGATTTTATTTTTAAGTAATCTCTACACCCTAAATGGGTAACGGGGAAAAAGTTGCCTTGGGGCCTATAAGGGGAGTCAGGACAAGGGGCCTCACAACTGTATCCAGAAATTCTTATTCAACATTTTACATTTTAAGCAGCAAGTGAGTGAAACTGAGGGATTCACATACATCCCAAAGCACAGTACAGTGTTCCCAGGAGAGCCCCAAGCTCACAAACACCTCTGTTACTCTTGGTGAATAACTGTGTCAGCTCTGATGATGTTAAAGAATAAAAGAAAACTATGGCAAGTTTGCTGGATTGCAAAAGGATTTGTTACCCAGTTAGAGTCATTCTTTCTCAACACCTTACTTGATATTTCAAACTGTCCCTTTGTTTGGTGCCCTGGAAAATTTGACAACTACTAAGATTTAGAAAGTTGCAAGAGATGCCTTTCAGAATGTGGAAAGAACCAATGTGACAAGTTCTCAAGAAGATAACTTTTAGGAAAACAAGTAAGTGGAAGTTTTGCTTTGGTTAGTTACATTGAAATATGGAATGCCAGGGGCACCTGGGTGGCTCAGTTGTTAAGTGTCTGCCTTAGGCTCAGGTCATGATCCCACGGTCCTGGGATGGAGCCATTAGACTGAGGTGGTGCTAATACCTTATCAGTATATTCCAAAACCTAAGTAAGCAATCCAAAACCTAAGCCTGTAGAGGCATCAAGGTTAAGAATACAAAATCTAAGGATAATCAATCACGAAGAGCCAACTAGTCTTTCCAAATAAGGCTTATTTATTTATTTCCAAATAAAAAAGTTTAAGCTATGGCCAGCCAAATAATTTCCTTGCTTTGCTTCTGCCTTTTCTCTACTATAGAAGTCTTTCTCCTAGCTCCTGTCAGTGGACTATCAGTTTTGGTTTGGCACTG